ATATAAAAGACTCTCTAAATTATAATTAAATAGATTTAAATTAATATTTTGCTTAATTATGCTACGTATTCCTGTTTAGTTAAGAATTAAGCCATTGAAAACGAAAGTAAGTAAGCTAACTTTTTACACATAATTTAATTTCAAGTAACTCGAGCATATTTGCGTATGTAAATTGTGGTGTGAGCCTCATGTTAGAATTAACGGATAAATATGTTAGTCCGTAAATTTCTGCGACCTCTCATTTCATACATTGCCTCCAGGGTCTTAAGCCTCTGTACACCTCAGGTATTTGAATATCAAATGCCTACATACAAAAAAGAGAAGTTTTCCTTCAAATGGAAATGGGGGAGAAATACATCATCCATCATGCATGAGATGCTTCGATGTGGTCAAGTTTCACTGAACTAAATTATACGAACAGAATAACTTGGGCTACAGGCTGAAATCTGCAGCATCGTTGCATATTATAAGGCTGGGTGTAAGGAAGTCAAAGATAAGTATTACACATCTCTGGTGCATGATAACATTTATGGGTGGCTGTCGTCATACGAACGTCCTGGAAAGCGTAAGAGGATCACACTTCATTTTCCGGGTACTGTCCTGAGGATTTATACACCTAATTTATCTCGTTGGGTCTTCGTATTTTCTAATTCTTACTCAGTATTTTCAGGATAATTAGGATACATTTTTAAACGTCATATGCTGTCTTCCCATTTTGTTCTTCGTTTTGAATTTGCCGCTATGACGTTATCGTGATAGAAAAAGAAGTCACTACTGCTGCTAAATGAAATAACTATGACTACCAGAGACAATTCTATTTTCTGGCACCATTGATGAATCAATCTGCCACTAGAACTACCACGTTTACAGTTAGTTGTTAGTATTCTGCGTCTTATGACGGAAGTCCCCTATTCCAACGTGGGCTTTGATACCGACTATTTAGGAGATTCTTGGTTTTTGAAGATGTCTGTCTTCTGACTCACCGCCGTGAAAACCTTAAATCTTAGGGCGGTGGGCCAAGAAGACAGACATCAACGTTACAACAGACAATTACAGCTTCCTTTCACATTGTATTTATCTCCTTATGTATAATTATCTTACAAGTTCTTATTTAAAATAACAGGCTAATCGCAGCAGCTGTAAAATTGTCGATAAAATTAAATTTTGAATTCTTGCTATTCCTTGATTCAGGTCATGGGACTATGATGTGATTTTGGCTTTCTGATTGAAAAACAACACTGTCAGCATTGTGGAAACAGGAAAACAATTTCAATGTTGATCTCCCTAAAGGAATCTCCTTCCGATGCGCGCTCTGTAATGGATCTATTGACTTTTTCATATGAATTCGCTTCGGTTCCTCCGATCCTGTAATGTTTACTGAGTTTTCAGCTTAGGAAACGTGGACATACCTTCAGAACTAAATTGGTTTCAGAGCAGCATCACGTAAAGTCAGCCCAGCATAGTATAAATCATTTGTTCTGCGTCACAAAAGTTTACAGTGGAAATGTAAGTCCTCATAATGATTGGCTGAGGGCTAAACGTCCGCGTTTCTATTCCTGGCAGGGGTAGAAATGTTTCTCTTAAAGTCTCACAGACACGAAGTAAAGGCTTTGTGAAGTGTGAAACTAGCCAGTCGCCTACAACTAATACAGAGATAAGAAATACAATAATATGTGCTCATTGTGTGCATTTATCACTGTTTTTGCAGTTTTGGTCGCAGTGTGTCAATCTCCACGGCCCCATACTGATGCTGGTGGCGCAGCTGGCGCTGGTGCAGGGGCCGAAGCCCACGGTAAGACGAGAAGTAACGAAATCGTTATAATAAACTGTCAACGCAGTCCAATTTCGCTGGTGACGATGCAAGCACTGTTTTAAGGCACTTAAATGCTGAACTCACAGATTCGAATCGCGATTGAGAGGTCAGTGCTGGTACGAGCAATGCGATAAGTGGTCTACTCTTTCATCTATTGTCTTAATTAGCGTCTATGGAGGCCTGGGCCTAAGACCAGCTTCAGCTTTGTCTGCACTACTACAGAAAAGTGTGTAATTCAGATCTAAATTGAAATCCAATAGGATTTGAGGTTTTAACGATGGTGTGTCCGAAGATGGCTGTCTTCTGGGTTGTAGCGCCGTGTAGTCTGGTAGAAGTTTACCAACGTTTCGGAGATCCATCATCAGGGCGATGAGTGACTTATCTGAAACTGAGGAACTCTGAAATGTCGGTGAACTTTTGCCGTACTACGCTGCACAATACCTGAAGTGACACTCGTCTTTGTGAGTTTTTAAGCCTCGTGCCCTGAAGGAGTGGCGATAAGTCTCCGAGCTTTCCTATGCATTGCACTGGAGATAAGTGATCTGCTTTTCTATTTGAGCCTCGTTTAACGACGCTGTTAATATCTCAGATAAAATACAATCGAATGATTGGGTGATTAAAGAATAACAGATTAGAAAGTATGTGTAAGGATGGATTGTGGCCTAATTTAAGGTGCTATTCCTGCACTTTTCTAGAAAGAGTAAAGAAACCCAGGAGAAACCTCCGACAGTCTAGCCGATATCCGAGCTGATATTTGAATTCAGGACCACCCGAATACGAAGCATCTTCACACTCCACCCGTTTTACATCGAGAAAATAATTCCCGATACTCATTCGAGGAGGCTTGGTGAGCCCCAAAACTGGGACCACAGTCCCGAAGAGGGGAATCCCTGTTTCGGCCACCCAGTCTGTAGCCAGTCGTTTTACCGACTGAGCTAGGAACTCTAGCTTATGTCCAGCACCGACAGCAGTTACCGCAAAGGTTAAGAAAATAATTTACTAATGAATATGGATGATACTGAATTCATAATGGCATAAGTAGTACATGACTTTGGTGCTCAAATGATTTTGAGTTGATCGTAGTCGCTATAAATATTATATTAATAAAAATGGAACAGTCAATATAATGGCAGCCAATCACTTAGGACCAGAGTACAGCCTATTCCGAAAACATCGCATGTATTTATTACCAATGTCCCTCAAAAATTGGGCAACGCCTCACGTAACTGTGGTGCAATATACACTGGCACCGACTTTCAAATCCATGGAAGATATTAATTTTTAAAAAGCTTAAATTTGCTCAGATGGTAAAGAAATTTACCTTCTTTGATGTAACCCGAAGGCCTCTTACTCTATTCACAAGAGTCGTTCAATGGAACCTATCCTGAGCCTACTGAATCCAATCCACGCCCTCACACCTGAACTCCTTTAGACAACAATTTTCGTCCATTCCGTTTTCGCCCCAAGTGCTCTGTTCCATTCAACTTTCCGACTAAAATCTAGTATGTATTTTTTAAATCTCCCCTACATGATTCATGTCTTGCCAGTTTTGCTGTCCTCAAATTAATCATTCCAATAACATTTATAGATAATACAATTTATGAAACACAATATCATAATTTTAACAGCCCTCTTCCGGAGACTGGCTATCAAGACAGAGTTTTTTCGTGGTGTTCCTCAGTCCATCCAGGCAAATGTCGGGATAGTACCTTAAATTAGGCCACGACCGCTTCCTTCCACATTCTTTCCTTTTCGTTATTCACTGTCATCTCATTCGACGCTACGAGTATATAGTCTGAGATAATGAAAAAGCGTCGTTAAATATGCTACAAACAAATAAGCAGCCTTCAGCTCCACAAGAAACATGACTCAATTTGAAAACCTGAACTCGCCCTGCACTCTGTTCCTCTTGCTTCTTACATCTGCCTCGGCCTACATCTATGTTATGTTGTCATGTCTTAGTGACCTAACTCGTTTTGATAGGCTGAAGATCCAATTTCTCAATTCACGACAAGAGTAGGCGTTGTTGTCTCGTAATAAGTGAACGTGGCTAATAAATAAAGTAATTTGACAGGGCATAGTCAATTTAATTTACTACAGTTATTATTCATGCACTCGAATGACCCACAGACTGCAGAGGTCAACCTCGAAGATGCAACAAGACCGGCGCGGCTACTGCGCGACCAGTGAAGTTCAAGAATACCCTGCAGATTTCGTGTCAGATGCAGAATATAATAAGAACTGCTGGTTTAAGGCGGAGGGTGACAGGGAACAAAGTGAGGAAGTGTGACGTTTCAATACCAGTGTGTCACTGACAGACTTCGTACAGCAGTGAAATCAATAGATGTTTCAGTTTGTCAGGGCTGATCGCAACATTACGAGAACCTACAAATGTAAATTAGCAAGAAGTGATCTGAACACAACCAGGTCATATGCACATGGAAGTTCCATGTTGGGGCACCATTTCCATGATGTCCAGGACTGCTTCTATCTGAAATAAACCGAGGCTTTGTTGTAAAGTATGTCTCTCAGCGCAGACGTACATAACCGGAGACGAAAATAATTACCGTTAATTTGATACATCACATATACTCAATAAACAGCACCAAGAAAATTATTCTCAGACGGGGGGTTTTCTTCCGCTCATGACAGGCTTCTGATGTCGCAAATTGGTTAACATGCTTTCGTATAAATAGTGGTAATAAAATTGAGCGCTCACACTTCAATACGGAGCATCAGAGTCGAAGACCTCTGAAAAATAATAGCCGGATTAGTCCATGTATGAAAAAAAGCTAATATAAGACAGGGTTTTTGCCTCTAAATCATGATGTTTTTTATTAAACCCCATGGACAAATTAAGAACTGTAAATCGAAAATTAAATATTTTGCCTTTGAAAGTGAATGGAAATAAAGCACGCTATTGGGAGGAGCGTGCTGTATACATCATGCACTAAACGTAATTCATTACCGTACCCAGGTCTCATATGCATCTACGTATATAGATAAACATATAATGATCTTCACCGTTTATTTGAAGCATTAAATTAAGAAAAATATGCCTAAGAATTTTGTAGGTACAAAAGGCCTCTATAAATTTGTGTGAATATTCCTAATTCACCTGGAATGTTTAAATTCGATTTATCTTACACATTCAAGCAGCAACGCTTGAATAACCGATACTAAAAATTGTAAATGTTAGTATAACACTCGTCTGTTATGAGGTAACGCAGAAGGAAATGTTCTCAAAGCCAGTAATGATTTACAGTGCATTTTGCGTGGTCCTTACGTAACATTACAGATACCGCGTTAAATATGGCATGAACATTAGGAATAATCTTATCACACACTGTCACTTATATAAATCTCTTTTGACTTAAGCCTAGTCATTAATTTTTTCAATTAAAAAAGAGTACAATTATTTTATTTTTCTAGCAATCTTTAATTCATTATTATTAGTTAATATTTATATTATAGAATACTTTTAAGAAACCCCATTGATACAATGTAATCTATAATTATTGAACAGTATGCCTACTGCTCGCTGGAAGGTGATAATTTCAATTATAATTTATAGACTACACATGATTTATATAATTGTTTACCTAGTCTTAAACCTCTTTGTAAGAGAGGTATGTACCTACAAGTAAATGTCACTGAATCATGTTACAATAAAATTCAATTGCATATCCACCTCTGAGCGATAATATTAGGCCAAATAATAATTTATAATGATCATTCTTCTTTATCAAACTGTCATTATTTACGATATTCAGTCGTAACATGAGATGAATTAAGATGGACAGGAAGGCAGAGCAGTGTTACAATTTTCAAAACATGTTAGGCCTACTACAATAACACGAAATCTAATTAGAAATCTTACTCCAGTCATTCTGCAAGCACAATGCACGTTCTTATGTGCAACATCTTTTAAGATGGCCTAAGTTTATTTGACAGGAACGTTTAAATTTCTGTAATATTTAAGGAGCAAACTTTAAAGTTTGGAGGTGACTTTTAGAGTACATATTTTCATTAG